ATTGATCTGAGGTAAACATCCTAAATTGCTTCACCTAAACAAGAAAGCATATAAATCGAAGCGTCTGAGAACAGAAAACACGATTGTATCGAAATGACGATAATGCGCTTAGTTTTTTTTTTACCAAAACCGATCAAATGCCTTGGGGCCCTTGACCTGCCCTAAGAGGTCACTGCTATTTTAAAATGGGGTACCAGTCGCTGCGTCACGTAACGACGCAAGCGCTCGTTTTTTTTTCCGCGAGGCTCTAGCAGCTAGCTCAATTATAGGAGCTAAACATGGGGTCGGGGAATCGCTTCTTTCTCACTCATTATTTGGCCGGGATAGTGTTTGCAATTATTGTTAAAACCTAGCATTTTGAGATTTCAAATGACCCATTTTTTTTCCCGCACAAGTCTTTCAATTCAAGGTCATAACACCAGGTCACGTCAAGTGACCTTACCTCAAGGAAAGTGCCTGTGCTCATCATATCTAAATACACCAACCAACCGATCGCTTCAGAACTTTCAGCGATTTTAATGGGCAACAGTATATGTATTTGAAACGTTTACTTTGCAAGTTTGACATTGTTGACAGAAAGGCCGGGCCAATTTTGAGATCGCTCAAGTCAATGGGAGAAAATTGAACTGCGCTTTTTTGGACGGAACACATAATAAACACCCTGAAAACATGTGGTGCTGAGATACAATACTGAATGAGAAAATTGTTTGTTTTGTTGGGGGCCATCTTTTTCGGTCTGAAAAGGCCCTTGCAGAGCTATGGCATAACTATGTTCTGGTGTAGTAATTGGGTTGTGCGAGCCAGCGACAGTGATCTGAGGAAGCGAGACTGTTCCCGTGGGACGATTGCCCTGTCGGGACGGTCCAGCCGTCTCCCAGTCACCCGAAGAGGATTATGTGTCCTGGAATGGATCCGACATCAACTACTGGTTGACTGGTGGGGTGACCTCCAGTCCAGAGAGGGAAGCATGAAGACTAGGGGCGATGCGGATTGGTTTTTCCTGAGGATAGCGAGGAAGGAAGGAATCTAGCACCCTTGAACCTTCCTTATAATGAGTGTATCTCAAGCTGTTAGTAAATCTCCTAAGCGTTTTTTCTCGACATCGTCAAGGTCTCATTAACAAAAATATGAAATCCGGGGGGATAAATTAAATATAGAAATTGTAGCCAACAGAACATTACCAGTTGCGTTCAACATACTCGTAAGCATGTTCAAACACCTAGCTTACATATGAGCCATGTAATAATTATTTTTGATTGACATGCTTAAGTTATGAAATCATCTGAAGAGTTAATAAAGTTCCACGATACGGATCTAATATCCTGCTATGCATTATGACCATTTCTGGTCAGGTCATGTCTTTGAACATAGGCCGAATTTATCAAAGGACCTTTAAAGATCAACTTTTGATTCATTCGAAGCGTTTTGATAAGAGGAACACGAGGCTGGTAAAATTAATTTCATGCAAGTTTTAAGCTAAAAACTTTTTACGGAGCGAGCGAAGCGAGCGTAGTCTTTCCTTAGATTAACGGAAATTTCTGAGTACCAGTATAGCGCCTTTTGGGGCGACTAACGGAGCGAGCGAGGGGGCGAGTCTTGCACGTGCGAAATTTCGAGGGGGTACCTCCAACTGACTTGTGCACGGCACCCTACTGACCGGTTTCTAGCGATGTGCCAAATTTGAGCACAATCGGCCCAGCCGTTCTCGAGATCTGGGAGCGGCACCCTGCACGTGCGCACGTGCTAAATGGGTCCCAACTGACTTGTGCACGGCACCCTACTAACTGGTCCCTAACCGTGTACCAAATTTGAGCGCCATCGGTCCAGCCGTTCTCGAGATCTGGAAACGACCCCTGCACGTGCGCACGTGCAGCAGCACCCCAACTCTGGCACATGGATATGCAGTGCCTAGTGGGTGCCTACCTACATGCCAACTTTCAGCGCAATCGGCCAAGTAGTTACCGAAATATTGCAACAATTACAAAACTGACACCTCTTCGTTTTGCACGTGGCACGTGCATAAGGGGTCACCCACGTGCATCGGGAATAGTCCAATACTTGGTAGAAGGAATGAAGCTACCCTACAAAAATTACCGCATGTAAATCGGTCAAGTGGTTGCTGAGATATAAGCCTCGCAAAAGCGTCCGCACGGCCGGCCGGCCGGCCGGCCGGCCGGCCGGCCGGCCGCTCATACTCAGAAATTTCCGTTAATCTAAGGAAAGACTACGCTCGCTTCGCTCGCTCCGTAATGAGCGGCCGGCCGGCCGGCCGGCCGGCCGGCCGTGCGGACGCTTTTGCGAGGCTTATATCTCAGCAACCACTTGACCGATTTACACGGGGTAATTTTTGTAGGGTAGCTTCATTCCTTCTACCAAGTATTGGACTATTGTTGATGCATGTGGGTGACCCCTTATGCACGTGCCACGCGCAAAACGAAGAGGTGTCAGTTTTGTAATTGTTGCAATATCTCGGTAACTACTTGGCCGATTGCGCTGAAAGTTGGCATGTAGGTAGGCACCCACTAGGCACTGCATATCCATGTGCCAGAGTTGGGGTGCTGCTGCACGTGCGCACGTGCAGGGGTCGTTTCCAGATCTCGAGAACGGCTGGACCGATGGCGCTCAAATTTGGTACACGGTTAGGGACCAGTTAGTAGGGTGCCGTGCACAAGTCAGTTGGGACCCATTTTGCACGTGCGCACGTGCAGGGTGCCGCTTCCAGATCTCGAGAACGGCTGGGCCGATTGTGCTCAAATTTGGCACATCGCTAGAGACCGGTTAGTAGGGTGCCGTGCACAAGTCAGTTGGAGGTACCCCCTCGAAATTTCGCACGTGCAAGACTCACCCCCTCGCTCGCTCCGTTAGTCGCCCCAAAAGGCGCTATACTGGTAAGTATTTGTGGAAAAGCAATTGGTTTTCTCATAATACCGATAGTGGCAGTTGTTGTTATTTACATGCTAAGCCGTTAACCTTAATTAAATCTGACAATATTATTCAGACATAGCCGTAAGCGAGCTGATTGTGTTAGGTTAGGCTCTTTCGATCGATTTCAGAGTGGGAAGGATGACAGGAATTAGGGGGAGACAGGGGCCGAGCGGGAGTCCTGGGCCTCATGCTCCGCTGGGGCCGAGCCCATCACGTGGGTTGGAGTGCCCTGACACATGGATAGCCCTGGGCGGTGTTTCACGGCCCCACGCTGCAGCACGTTGCGCTGCGCTGCTGCATTGTTGCGGCGATTGATATGAATTCGGCTCCACGCTAGCGTTGAGAGCTTCCGAGTCTGTTGATGTTTCCATGGAAATAGGAAACCCAATGCACCGGTGCGCGCAACGCACCCTGTCTAAGCAAAATTTTACCATCGATGACCTCTAGTGACATGACCTCTGGCTGTGACCCGATCCAAAATTGGCTTAAGTATTTTTTCTTTTTGCTTCTTTTGACGCTACTTCGAATACCAATTAAATGCCCAAAGCTGAGTTGAAAGAATGATGCTCAATCCCCATTTCCCCTCCAACAGGGCGTGAGAGTCTAGGCATTCCTGTGGGGCACGGGCTAACAATGACTATCTCATAATCATTGTGGCCATGAACATCATATACTGCCATTCTTTAACACCGGTTTCGCTGCGCTGAGCGGTGGCCGTCCCGTTTGTTGGATTCTACAGCTGGCTGGCGGAAAGCGTTACCGGCCGCCCGTCCACCGCCCGCGGGCCGGACCGAGCGGTCCCGCTGACCCTACCTGACCTGAGCCCGGCGCGATATGGGACAGGCAGACGGGGGTTCGGCTCAGCGAATGCAGCGCCCACTGGTGCTGGGGACTTTTTTAATAGACCTACTGTACGGGGTGCAGTTTAGTGAGAGGTACACTCGACCCCCACCGGACACGATTTGGTAGCCGAGGTCTGTGACGTCAGCCGGGCGTGAAGTTTTCCCTTCACCATAGGCTTCACACACAAACCGGCCGAAGTTCATGCCAGGATAGCCCGGCTTGAAAGTGCAAAAATGATTAAATTTTGCCCTCAATAGATTCATTGCTTCATTTTATAACTAAAAACGTCCGTTATTAGGACTCAATGAAGGTAAAAAGTACTCAAAATCGAAGTTCAAGAAGATGCTGTCCGAGCACAATCTGGTAACATCACGTGACCTCTTTTAAGCAGAATGTATATAATTCAAGGATGTTATTACACGATTGCTGCCTAAAACATCATAAATAATACGCTTGTAACATTTATTGCTTCTGTTTAAGTCATAACATTGCAAAACGCAAAGTTTATCATGGAAGTCACGTGACCAAAGGTATAGCAGGGGTTGGGACAAGCACTCAAAGGATTTCAAGTTTTTTAATTAAATTATATAAGTTTCATGATGAAATTTAAAGAATGTATTTTTTCCTAATGAAATACAAATTTCCGTATGTAAAATATTTTCCTTATGGGCGAAATTCTCCATATAAGAAATGTCAGTGACGTCACCAGGGCTTTACTGGGCTTTACTCAAAACATCGGACCTACCTGTTTCTTATAGGTATCTTGGGTACACTACTCAAAAGTGCTGCTGCTTCATGCTTGCAGTTTGATTGCAGTGATCAACTTTTCAAGACTTTGGTATACACAACATGGCGGAAATCGTTAGACATTCTGGCCCATATACGGCCAAGGCGAGTGCCTCCCCCTGGGCCAATCACGTTCCCATAACGGCAGCCAAGCCCCCGCTGACCTTGAACGGGATTGGCCGGACGGGCCGGACGACGTAGAATCTTTGCCGCCCGAGAGACATCGAACGCAGGGCTGGTGAGAGGTGACTATGGCGGCGTTCGATGTCTCCCCGACGACAAAGATTCTTTGCCGTCCGGCCAATCCCGTCCAAGGTCATCGGGGGCTCGGCTGCGGTTATGAAACGTGATTGGCCGGACGGCGTAGAATCTTCGCCGTCCGAGAGACATCGAACGCGGGGTATAAGTTTTTTTTTTTCACGGCGACTACAAATCAAAATAAGTTTTTCAAGATTATTACAGGGATTACAAGATTTTTACTGATCAGGGTTTACCGTTTTTTTCGTCTTGAGGCGTCCTAATGGCATGTGTATCTTGAGATCGCAGCACAATTTGTGGCATTCTGTACTCATCTATTTCTAATTCCTGTTGCTTGTGAATGATAAGGCTCTGTAGTGGTAGGCAATTACTTGTTAGATTTGTATTATTATTTTAGGGTAATTCAGTGCCGGCAGTTGGTTGCGCTACATCAAACGCTGAGGCCTCCTCTCCTGGCTCTCCCAAGCGGCCACCCTTTTGATTGGTCATGGTGTCCTGATGGCACCGTAAATTTCCTGCGTAGTACAGTACATGCAATTCTGAATTCCTAGCAATTCCTAGCTTTGCTGGTTTGGTTGCATGACTGTGTTTTATTTTAACGGAAAATTTTTACTGAAAATTCTAGCATTATTCTATGTTAATCCTCCAAAATCTGGGGTTGCTTTTGACAGTGAGGGTGTGCTCAATTTGAGCATCCCTAAAAGCTAAAAGTTTGAAACTCCTATGGGCCCTAATTCTCTACCCCTGGCCAGTGGCCCTGTCTCCATCAAGTATTTGGAATGTTTTGTTTCCTTTTTTGCCTTGTTACATGCCAGAACAAAATAGAACCAACTCTGGTTCGCAATCTAGATGCATTCAGTTGTTCATTAAAAATTAATCAATTAGCATGAGTTTTTTACATTTTGTGTACCTAATTGAACAATTAACCTCTATGTTATGACCTGGCTTTGAATGATTCATTGTTTATCAGCTAAGCTCATTTGATTGAATGGGCAAATTGATAGTGTAGGATCCTGACTGAGCAGACTCGTAAGTGGACCTTGGGTGCAGATCCTGATCATTACCTTTTCTTTGACCAATTCTGGAATAAGGGACATTTAGACTCCAAAATTAACTGCTATAAAAACCAGGCACCTTATTAGACCTGTTGTTATCAATCAAGTTCATGCTAATTCAAAATAATTCATTTCAATTAATGTTACAATTGGATGTAGGTAGGTGATTGAATCTGCACAATCTTAGCAGTGAGTAGGTAGCTACCTACCTGAGAAAATATTCACCTCAGCAGTGCTGACTATGACTTACACAATAGTAATTCAATTTGGTGAAGGCTCATTTTTAGATGTGGTGTTATGTGGACTGTGGAGTTCTGGGATAGATACTGCGGTGAGGGGGGGCTGAATGTCACATAGATATTCCTATGAACATGGGGCCTACCTATCACAGTGTGAACTCTAAACCAGTATAGCGCCTTTTGGGGCGACTAACGGAGCGAGCGAGCGGGTGAGTCTTGCACGTGCGAAATTTCGAGGGGGTACCTCCAACTGACTTGTGCAGGGCACCCTACTGACTGGTCTCTAGCGATGTGCCAAATTTGGGCACAATCGGCCCAGCCGTTCTCGAGATCTGGAAGCGGCACCCTGCACGTGCGCACGTGCAAAATGGGTCCCAACTGACTTGTGCACGGCACCCTAGTAACCGGTCCCTAACTGTGTACCAAATTTGAGCGCAATCGGTCGAGCCGTTCTCGAGATCTGGAAACGACCCCTGCACGTGCGCACGTGCAGCGGCACCCCAACTCTGGCACATGGATATGCAGTGCCTAGTGGGTGCCTACCTACATGCCAACTTTCAGCGCAATCGGCCAAGTAGTTACCGAAATATTGCAACAATTACAAAAGTGACACCTCTTCGTTTTGCACGTGGCACGTGCATAAGGGGTCACCCACATGCATCGGGAATAGTCCAATACTTGGTAGAAGGAATGAAGCTACCCTACAAAAATTACCGCATGTAAATCGGTCAAGTGGTTGCTGAGATATAAGCCTCGCAAAAGCGTCCGCACGGCCGGCCGGCCGGCCGGCCGGCCGCTCATACTCAGAAATTTCCGTTATTCTACGTAAGACTCCGCTCGCTTCGCTCGCTCCGTAATCATATTGAGCCAGGGTGACGTATTTGGTGAAAACTGTCTTTTCTTGCAGTATATTTTGGTTTGCTGCTTCATGCATTTAGCTATAATAATTGATTTTAGGGTCATTCATTGGCTTGAGTAGTAGACACCCACCCTAGCAACCAGCAAGTTATGGAATGTGGGTGATAGCATCAAAATACTATGTACTGCTCCCTGCTGGCTGCTGGCTGGTCCAGCCAGCTGCTGAATGAGAGACTGTTCAGTTGTTGATGTGTATGAGAGAGGGGAGTGAGGTCCTTCCAGATTAAGATTCAGTATTATTATATACCTGCATTGAAGTGCTAAATTTTCAGCTCAAAGTAAAGAAGTGGGTCACGGCTGGGTGAGCCATTTACTCAGCATACTGGAGACACTGTTAATTATGTCATTTTCAATAAGTTCTGCTTAGTGATTATCAGTATAGGTCTCAGGCCCTCGGCCACAATTGTCAATTGTCTGAACTAAGTTCTGAACTCTATCCATGCTAATTTTGATGTAAGACAATTGATAAAACCATAGCCCATAAGGTAATGCATCTATTTTAAGGATGAGGAAAACATGAAAAATGTTATGACCAGTGGCCATTAGGTATGTAGTTTACTGACATTACTTCACCCATTTGATAGCATTCAACGTTTTTTCTCATATAATTATCTTTGAGTTTACAGGTAGACTAACTTAGATGATGCTGCGAGCAAGTGGTTGAAGCAAGTTAAAGTTCAGCTGTGAAGAGTCATACCAATATATTGACTGAACTGAGCACTAACAAGTAACAATGAGCAGCAAGATGAGCGGCGGACCGCTGCCTCCCGTCAGTCCGAAGGTGTTTGAAGCCATGGAGAGTGTGAACGTGACGGCGCTGGCCGAGTGCTCCGAGGCAGAGATCCGGCCGCTGCTGCCCTGTCTGGTGCGCATGAGTCTGATCGAGCTCGACCAGTCGCACGACTTCACCGAGAAGCGGAAGGTGGTGCTGCGCATCCTGGCCGGCATTGACGTGGTGAACTCGCTGGTGCCGCTGCTGACGGTCGACTTCCCGCCGCTGGAGCTGGACGTGCGCAAGGAGCTGCAACTGCGCGCCAAGGCCGGCGCCGGCGCCGACAGCGTCCTCCTGCCGGCCGCCCAGGACGCCGGCGCGCCCGACTTTGAGCGCAGCGAGCCCATCCAGAAGCTGAAGCTGGTGCTGGCCACCGTGATCGCCGTGATGGCGCAGGCGCGCGATGGCGTCCAGCCGTGGTCAGTGCAGCCGTCCGAGCTGCTCGACAACGCCATCCACCTGGAGGAGGTGGCCGACATCCTGTCGATCGCGCTGGCCGAGCTGCCGCACCTGCTGCCGCCTGCCGACGTGGCCGAGGGTCTGCTGCGACTGCGCCACGGCCCGGCGCTGGTCGGCCGGCTGGTGGCCAACATGCCGGACGCGTTCCACGAGGTGTGCGCCGCGCTGGTGGCCGGCGGCGACAAGCAGGACGAGGACTCTCCGGCGGGCGCGGCGCGCGGCGCGGCTCTCCGCCAGCTCTGTCAGATGAACCCGCGCCAGGTGCTGGCTGTGCGCGCACTCTGCATGGACGCCTGCCGGCTGCCGGCACTGGCCGTCGGCCTCTCGCTGGAGCGCGCCAAACGCACCACTGACACCGGAGACGCTGCCGATCTGGTGGCGTTCATATCGGGCATCCTGCTCGGCAACAACCAGCACGTGCGCGCCTGGTTCCAGGTGTTTGTCCGTAACGGTCAGAAGCGGAAGGGCACACTGGCGGCGGCCACGCTGCAGGCGCTGCGGGAGCGGCTGATGGAGAGGCTGCAGAACACCCTGCTGATGTCGATGAACCAGCGTCTGCCGGACTCGGGCGTGGTGGACGCGGCCGCCTCTGTGCGCCTGTACTGCGCCCTGCGCGGCCTGGCCGGCCTCAAACCGACCGAGGAGGAGGTGCGCCTGCTGGTGCAGCTGCTGACCTCGCAGCCGCCGCCGACGCCGGCCGGCGTGCGCTTCGTGGCGCTGTCGCTGTGCGCGCTGATCGGCTGTCCGACGCTGCTGATGCACGCGGAGCACGAGCGGCGCGCAGTGGAGTGGCTCGGCTGGCTGGCGCAGCAGGAGGCCTACTTCGAGAGGTGAGACGGCACGCACCGAGGGCATAGGGTGTGGAAATTCGTCCAGTTTATAAGTACTATCATTCAGCTCGATTGATTGATTAGTAAGGTAAAGCTGAATAGGATGGTGCTGTGTGGATAAGGAGAACTAGTGTCCGAATTATTCCTTATCCATGAGATTGGTTATTAGTAAAGCGGGCTCAGAAATAATAGTACAATAAAATGTATTTTCATCGTATTATTTCGTGCGACAATGACCGTAATATGTATTTGAAGCCGTCGACGCCTCCCTCCACACATACATAGCTCACGCTCCCGCCTGCCTCATCTGCAGGTCGAGCGGCGAGTCAGCCTCGTTCGGCGAGACGCTGCTCCTGCTCGCCATCCATTTCCACGCCGGTAACCTGACGGCCATCACCGACCTGGTCAACAACACGCTCGGGATGAAGATGAACCACCGGCTGGTGAACCTGTCCCGCATCAAACACATCTTCACACACGACGTCTTCACCGACCAGGTGGGAGGCCACAATGGTCCTACTATCCGGGATGAATTGTTATGTTTCCAGGAGAGCCCCGACTTGCCAATGATTTTATAGCCCGATGTCACCATGTTGACCTTTTTCATGACAATAGGTCCGTGGTGATGAAAAGTGTGATCATGCCTGTGGTGTAATATCCTGTTTACGACTTGTATTTATTGTTTTATACGGATGACTGCCTATTAGTGGGAGGCCTTATCCCGTTGGCAATATACTGAATAAACAAACAAGCAAAAAAACAAAGAGTACTGAATTGCCTTTTTCCGGGGCGGTAACTTATTCCTGTGTCGTAAGTGGTGACTGCTCTTCCGTCTTGAATCTCCTCATATTCTCATCCCTCTCAATAACTATTAATTGGGTTTCGACTGATAACACACATCTCTGCAAAAAGTGGCTTGACTCCATTGTCTTTCCCAGATGGCGACTGATTTCTTTCCCTGCTCCCAAACGGTGACTGATTGCTCCCCTGTCTTCCCAGGTGGTGACGGCTCACGCGGTCAAGGTCAAGGTGACGCCCTCACTCAGCGCTGACATCCCGGGCACCCTGCCCGTACACTGCATCTACCAGCTGCTAAAGAGCCGCGCCTTCACCAAACACCGTGTGCCCATCAATGACTGGATCTTCAGGTGTGTGGACCGCCGCCGGCCTCCGGCGCGACCGGACAGGGGTGGGACGGAGACGGCCCGGCGCGAAGCGGGAAAGGACTGCAGTGTTAACATTACAAGGGGTTTGACATACGACTCAAATTAATTATGTTGGCTATTTTTGTGGTAACAAGTGAATTAATAGCGTTATTTTGAAGATCGGAATTTTGACGCTTTACTGACATGCAATTTAATATGTATTGTGTCTTCTATTTCCAACGTTTATTTGTCATCGGTTTCAAAAATTCAGATTCTTCCTTTTTAGGACGTGTTTGTCTGAGCTTAGGAGAGCTTACTAGAGTTTGATGTCGTGATGTTCCTCTGTTTCCAGACAAATATGTCAGAGCAAGACCCCGCTTCATCCCGTCCTGCCGTCGCTGATCGACCTCTACGTGAAGTCGATGCTGGATACCACTCAGCGGCCCCACCTGGTACGTAGTGTGGGGATACCGGAGCATTAGGTGTATGACGCTTAAACTGATCAGCGCACGCAGCAACGATTGTCGAGTAATGTGGAGTTGCTTTGGTGGCGTCCTCTATACATCTATCCTATAACGTTGGCCTCTCAGTATCTTAAACTCTAGCAAACGGCGGCTTTGTCGACTCGGCAGAGTTCATACCGTTTATCGATCTTGAAACCTGCGTTCATTGTTGGCGTGACCGGAGTAGGACCACGAGGTTCTTTCTATCGATATGTGTTCGGGTGTGAACTGTATTGCCTCCAGAGTTCAATTACCTCGCTCAGACTCCACTGCAGAGCAGCTCACGAGCGCCCCCCTCCCCTCTCCCCCAGGCGGAGCACACGAATCAGCCGATCGCGGAGGAGCAGATTGCCGCCGTGTTCTCCGTCTCCTGTTTCCCGCGGCCGGCGGGCGGCGGCAGCGGTGGGAGCGGGGCTGCGGGCGGCGCCGACCCCGTGGAGCCGGCCACCGCCCAGCTGCTGCTGCTCTACTACCTGCTGCGGCACGAGGAGCGGCGGCTGGCCGGCGGCCGGCAGCTGGCGGCGCAGGGCCGCGCGCCCATCGCCTACCGCCCCACCCTCATCACGCAGCTGCCGGTGCTGTACCTGCTGCGGCTGGCGCAGCGGCGGCAGGCCGACTACGGCGGTCTGTTCGGCCCGCTGCTAGCGCTGCTCACCACACACTGTCCCGAGCTGTGTCTGGTGTCTCACTGGCTGGCCGCCCTGCCGGAGGAGGACCACAGCGCGCCGCTCCGACCGGTGCCCGACCTCACCCGGCACATCGAGACAGGTGGGGACTGAGAATCGGTGGTGGGCCGGGCATCGCTGGGCTGCGGGTAGCAGGGAGACTGACGAGGGATTGCGCCATTGGGGTGGAGATAAAGAGGGCAGGGTGGGCTGCCGTAGCATTCATATGTCAGTTTGAGCACGGTTATCGGTATTCAATCAGTCGTCGCTTTCTGAGTTATCACTGTTATCAGTTGCCTTGGATCATATCTGTGTGTTCAATTCCAAAACAAAGGAATGACGTAAATCGGGCTACTCGCTTATATTCCGGGACGTTGTGAGACCGTATTTCCATTGTTGTGCTCAAATACATCTTATTCTAGGCTATATACGGATGAATTTTTTAATAAACATATGCGCCATACCTGCCTAATATCTCATGTTTAGCTGACCCTTAGGCGCTTGTCCGCTGTGTCTGTCCGTTGTGTAGCTAACCCCCGTCCCCCGTTCTCCGACAGCTCTGGACGGTCTGCCAGAGACCTCGGCCGCCGCCGGCCGGCTGCTGCCGCGCCTGCTGCGCCTCCCCACCCCGCAGCTGTGGCAGCTGGCGCAGCCGCTGGTGTCGCGCGCCAGTCGGCTGCTGCGGCCGGGCGTGTCCCGCCAGCTGCAGCAGCAGTTCCGGCAGCTGTGGGCCCGCCTCAGCCTGGTGTTCCCGCACCGGCTCTGGGCGCTCACCGTGAACGCTCTGCGCCGGGACGACTCTGCGCCGGTGCCGCCGCGGCCGCTGACGGGCCAGGAGCTGGCGCAGGACCCGCTGCACGTGCTGCGCTGCCAGCCGGCCGTGCTGCGCGCGCCGCCGCTGCTGGAGATCGTGCTGGAGCTGCTGCTGGTCCACCTGTCGGCGTCGCGCGCTCAGCTCAAGAGGCACCTGCTCGACCACCCGTCACCGCTGCCCGCTCAGCCGTACGTGGGGAGTGTGGGAGGGGTCAGGAGAGGAGTGGGGGTAGTAGCATGAGGTTATGAGTCAAAGGAGCATTGGGTTAACATTGGCGTCATTGTCAGTAACTTTTTAGCCCGCGCAATGCAGTGAACGTAGCTTTGCAAGCTCTCGGGAGTTCTTAAACTTTGTCCGCGACGTCTTTCGCCCGTTTACGTATCGTTATCAATGGCCTTCCTGCTCTCCTCCCTGGTCCAGCAGTCAGCACCCTCACTTCCCTCTGTCCCCTGTCACAGCGGCCAGCCGTCTGACGCGGAGCGGGAGGAGCTGCTACTTGCCCCTGCCTGCTTTCTGTGTCTGTCTGTCTCTCACCCTCCGTCTCCTGTCGCAGCGGCCAGCCGTCTGACGCGGAGCGGGAGGAGCTGCGCAGCGCACTGGTGCTGGCGCAGGACTCGGCCGCCCTCCAGCTGCTCATCGAGGTCTGTCTGGAGACAGAGGAGGACCGGCGCGCGCCGGGAGGAGCCCAGCTGCTCCAGGAGGTCCGCTGCCTGGTCTGCACCTTCCTCCACCAGGCCTTCATCGATAACCCCATGCTGGCCAAGCTGGTCCACTTTCAGGTGAGGGTGACCCGTCGCACCGGGAGGGAACGATCCTCCTAAATGGAAGGGGTTGGGAGTGAGGGGCTGGAGTTGTACAGTTGTGATGAAGAGTTTGCTTGGTGTTGAAAAGATGCTGTGTCCCACCGTCATATATTCCGTGCCCCGGTGTCATTTATTATGCGTCCCTCTGTCCTGTATTCTGTCATCGATATCCTGGTGTCACCTGTTTTGCCCCTGCTGACCGTGACCTCCCTCCCCTCCGCTCTCAGGGTTACCCCGCCGAGGCGTTGCCCGTGTTGGTGGCCGGCGTGCCGTCCATGCACATCTGCCTCGACTTCATGCCCGAGCTGCTGTCTCAGCCCGACCTGGAGAAGCAGATTTTCGCGGCCGAGCTGGCCTCCCACCTGGCGCTGCAGTTCCCCATTCCGCGCTGCTTTAGCACGGGTCGACTAGTTATCAACACACTCACCACCCTGCTAGAAGGTGAGTTCGCCCGGTCGTCTTGCTACTAGAAGATCTTAACATAATAGTCATAACATTGGTCATAACATTGGCCGTCTGGTCATAACATTTGGTAGAAGACGGGTCCGCCTCCCCTGCCCCTGGCCGTTTCATCTACCAGCCTTTTCGGCATTGGGGTTGTTTCGGTATAACTCCTGTGCTAACTCGCGGTTGAGGTAGTCTATAATGTCCCTCTGAGCCGCCGCTCACGACTGTGGATCTTCATCAGGGTGCTAGGTGATATATGAAAGCCTGCTCCACTCTAAATGTACGCACTGTCGTGAGGGGCAGGTTGAAACCGCATGCTGCGATAGTGCCTGAGCTGCAGACCTGGTGGTCGGCGGTGATTGCGAATGCTTTGCTATTTTTGCCCGTAGATAACCATCATAATGATGAAGTGGATGCACACTCTGCTAGTTATTGGGTCGCTGGTGCTATGTTTTCTCTAGCTTTTTATCTTACGTGTTGGCCAGTCTGCTATTTTCGGAGTCAATTCACCGTGGATATCCTTGGAATTCCTGTGGCTTCGTAATTCTGATGTGGCGCTAACGAAAGCCCCGTGAAAGTAAACAGTCGGATTTGCGGATTTTTTATCGTTTGAAAGTTCATCTTCCACGGGGATGTGTTGATGACGTGTAAATCGAAATTATCGGCACTGCTGGAATTGCTGCTCAATGCTGGAGGTATTCGACTCTGTCCCCAACGGCTATCGACGAGCAGTCGACTTCAGCTTGTTGCCTTAATCGGGAGCTCCGCCCGCTTCCAGTGAAGTATATTGAGACACTGCAAACGGCACGTTAAAGCTGAAAAACACCCTTCTACGTGAAAGTTTCGATGCTCCCCTTGCGTCTCTACATAACATAATGCTTTCACCTATTGCAAGGTGTTTACCCCCCCCCCCCCCCCCGCTAAATGGTATGTGAAGTTCTGCTGAAAATCTAAGCTCGCACTGATACTGGTTATCGCTTGCTGTCGTTTCTCGTGAACAGCTGGCTGGTTTTCAGCGGAGTTTTACCACACAGCGCCGTTTTAGTTTTTGGGGTACACGGCCGGCTTGTCGAATACAGTCCATCAGTTCGAAGAATGAAGCCTTATAATTACTCGCGCTAGCCTTATCGAATACGAGACGCGCGTTTTCCTTATTCCTTCTCGCAAATCCTAGACTACGGAAATGCAATTTACATATTGCATCATGCGCTTCGTTTTGACACAAGGTTGAGACTTCGCTAATATCTGGTAAGTCTCTCCTGAGTTTTACTGCTTTATCGCTCCGTGATTTAGGGGCTTAGCACAGGATCGGCAGGTTACCGTACTAACGCGGAGAACTGCATGACGTGATCTGTTAACTGCATGCACATTGCACAATATACATAGCTGGGGATTGTCAGTGATGTGCGCTCACTTATCTGATTGGCCCAGCATGTCTTTTATGGGTAGGGGTTTTGCTCTATAATACTCGTCTAGTTTCATTGCCACTAAAACTATGAAGCCGGTAATATAGGTGCATTGCGCAGCATTGATGTACTTTAACATCTTTGCCTACATCTTTTGTGGATAGCATACTTCATCGCCAATTTACCTGTAGCACTAATCCTCTGACTTTTGTCCCAAAAGGTTGTTATTTTGGTCGTGCTTGAATTTTCAAGATCCACTATATATTTAATTTTACTGTTGGTAGTGTTTCTTTCATTCGTTCTGTTCTTTGCTTTCACATATTTTTCCTATGTTGTTAATCTCGAGTGTCACCTGAGGGGATGCAGTTACATCAGTGACGCCACAGACCGCTGGCCGATGGCCATGTCGCAGCCCTGTCGTGTCGTACCCCGTGTCCCGTCCCCGTGTGCCGCCTCACTACCCGCTGTGTCCGCGCCCGCAGTGCTACCATGGACGGAGCGGCCGCGCGCCTTCCTGCCCGCCCTGCCCGCTCTGGTGCGTCTGGTGCGCGCGCTTCCGCCACTGGCCGAAGACGTCACGGCTCTCCTGCTGCAGCTGGGACGCGTCAGTGCCAGTCACACGGCGCTGGCCGGACCCAGCCACCACCTGGTCATACGGCACGACGGCCAGAAGGGCGGACAGCCCGACGGCGGTGACGACTGCCGGCCGGACGACGACGACGAGCCAGCGGCGGCGCTGCGGCACACGCTGCCCGCCAACGAGCGGCTCTGCTTCGAGCTGCGGCGCGCCTTCGAGGAGGTGTGCGAGGCGGTGACGCTGGACGGACGCGTGTACCGGGACAGCAAGGTGACGGCCGAGACACCCTGATAGGTCTGTTGGAGGGAGAGTGGGTTAGTTCAGGTGTATCGTGTTTCCTAGGTCGGCCGATGTCGTGGTCAAGACTCACTAGAGTGGCGGAGCGCTGCCACTTGGCTGTGAAGGTGGTGATTTTGTGGACGCTGTACTCTGCAGTGCTGACCTGATTTGAACCGTAGCCACCGACCTCTGTCAGTGATGCCCTACCTGAGTTGTTGCGCCGTTGATAAGGCGTTTACCATTCCGTTGACTTAAGTCGTTAATCGAGCTCGCTGATTTTCTGCAGGTTGATAGAACTTGCTGTACAAATTTCCATTTGCAAGTTGCAGCCGTATTATACGAGGCTTGTTACTGTTCCCGCTACTGATTCGTGATCAGCGCCAAGTGAGGAGCTCTTGCCATAGTCATTGCTTTGTCGCTGTGCAAGTGTAACTGAATGTCTTCAATGGAGGACTCGCATCGTGTGACATTGGGAACCCTGCTGCCCATTATTTGTTTGGTGGACGGGGCAGTCCTTAGACGCTGCTACGAACTGGTGAGTCAAATCTGTTTGTTGCCAATTGTGACAATGAGTAGAGGTTGATAATATTTTCTGGAATTAATGTTCGTTCCAAACATTTCTTTTCGCTTTTTTCCTCTCGTCTTCCTTTGCATTGTGAGTATACCGGAAAACACTAAATTGTTATTTGCGGGAAACCCGTGTAGCGATTTATGGGAAGTGTCTTGTAAATGTTTTCTTGTAAACTGAACACTAGTGTACACGTCAGCAGCATTGTGTTTTGCATTGTGTGGTGTGGTTAATTGTGGCTATAACAGGCACTACGGAGAACAATACAGGCGATGTTACTGTGAACACCTCTTCCTCGTCTGATTGGTCTGACCTTATAATATGTGGCTAGAATGGCTCATAATCGCTTATTACTGTAGGCGAGCGGGCAAAATGGCGCTTTACATGAGCAATCTCCTCGGCATTCCACAGCCAATCTGCTAATCCCTTCCTGTTTGTGAAAGTTGGACAGTGATGGGGCTTATTGTGCCGCTGGTGTAAGAGTAACCATAAGCTCTGATTTTTAGCCATTACGGTGAGAGTAAGGCTGATGAGAAGGCTGTCTGACGGCAAAAGTTGTCTACCCAGGCGGTGGAAAGTTTGACAGAAGCGAGTAAACTATCAATTCGCTACATACAACAGCGCCCGATCACGTCTAAAATGACACTGATCGCCATTCAATCCAGTTCATATGCATGATGTGATGCGCCTTTTAGCATGGTTCCATCCCTGTCGAAGTACGCAGCTGGCCGTTTGCCGCCCCATCGGCACCGTTCGTCATACAGGGCCGCGGCTGTAACCCTGTGATAACATGTCCTGACAGGGAGCGGGGGCCCTCGGTCCTGTTTATTACCCCCCCCCCCCCCTGGCCGACGGACGGGCCAGCCTGCCGGCCGCGATAAACGCGCCTCGTTGCACGCCACGGCACGCCACAAAAGCCGCAAATCCGTTGGTTCGGGCGGAGGCGGGGGCGTCGCGATCTTGTGGCCAGTCCTGGACTTTTGGGGCTACTACCATCCTCGCTGGCTCTGAGCATGGTCCATCTTTGGTTCAAATGGCATCGTTCGACCGGATGCAATACAGTTTTCGCTGTCAATTGCTCGGCTTATTGGACACATGAAGGGTCCGAACTCCGATGTCATCCGTAGCAGAGGGCAGCGGGGCACCATCATTAATCACTATGGTGCTAATCACTTGCGAACCGTTACTGGAATCTTATTCGTTTCCACGGCATTGATTATACTCGGTGGAAGGCGTTTGCAGATGTCAAACTCGACCGGACTGCAGTGATTAAAACCTGTTTTAATCGAAAGTGCTAAATTTAGCGCATAACCTTTACCAGATGACCGGTTTACTCGTTCATACGTATGTATATGCAGAAGTGCAGCATTTGTACTTTGCGTCATGTATTTGCGGACATCTACAAACTTAATTTCGAAAGGCTGAAAGAAGTTTTGTGGAATGTTTTCAGTATATATTTAGTAATTACCCATACGTTTCTTCTAGGTATGTTTCAGGCTGAATCGTTCGCATCTTTTTTTAAAATATATTCGTTTGGGTACCAGCTGCAGACCCGTCGGTCTTTTGATCCGAATTGGATGTCACGCCGGGGCTAATTCTGCCTTTTTCCTTTTATTGTTCGATATGCAGAAGCACGTTTGTAGATTTGCGAACATCTGCGACTGCAACACTCAAACACCAAAGCACATACCTAACTAGTTATGGCATAATATGTACGACGGCGAACGTCAATTCAGCCAGCATGTGTTTGCGTTAACATTGACTGCGTATGCTCACATGCTATAAGCAGTAGCGAACGACAGTCGGGCATTCGGCACAACAAAACAACGGGCGCAACACAGCTGGTAATTGACGCAATACGGCGATACAACGCAGGATAATTGACACGACAATCATCGCTTTCAACGCTTAACAGCGCTGATCATTATGCATTGTTCAAACCTCCTCACCCTTCCATAGGTCCAAGCCCTTTCGAGCTCGACGGCCTCACCCAAACCCCATCAACACAGTGCTGTGTGTGGTAGAAGGGCGCCAACCTTTTGCAGCTGCTCAGCTGCAAAAGGTTGGCGCCCTTCTACCTTCAAGGGTACCATTCTATTCTTCGAATGTGTATTCTTCGCAAGCTGCTGGTCGCCGCGCAAGAGACTAGACAGAAACTTTATCACCTGCGTACAGTAGGTCTATTAAAAAAGTCCCCAGCACCAGTGGGCGCTGCCTTCGCTGAGCCGAACCCCCGTCTGCCTGTCCCATATCGCGCTGGGCTCAGGTCAGGTAGGGTCAGCGGGACCGCTCGGTCCGGCCCGCGGGCGGTGGACGGGCGGCCGGTAACGCTTTCCGCCAGCCAGCTGTAGAATCCAACAAACGGGACGGCCACCGCTCAGCGCAGCGAAACCGGTGTTAAAGGGACCCTCCCACCTTAACATTAGATTTGAGTTGAGATAGCCAAATTGGTGGCCATGGCCTGAAAATACCGGTTTGGGCACTCACAACATCGAAAAATGCTTTAATTCGGAGATATCGAATTTCAAACTTGCAGTTTTCGGATTCTAAGGGGCTAATGCATTGGTATGCCCCCTTAGAATTTGTGACGTCAGCGGAGATCTAACGATTTTAAATCTTTTACTAAAACGTTTGGTAGCACGCGGTGGTATATGCTGCTTTGCGCGCAACAAATGCCGCACTTTCAAATAAAGTCGCTAGGAACAGCGGAGATCCCAAAAAGTAAACAAAAGTAAAAGTCTAATATCTTGAAAACCGGTGAATATTTTTCGATGAAATTTGGTAGATATTCGTTTTTGCTCTTTCTGAACCGAGCGACATCACTTTCATGCCAATTCATTAACTTTTTTGAAGGTGGGAGGGTCCCTTTAAAGAATGGCAGTAGATGTTCATGGCCACAATGATTATGAGATAGTCATTGTTAGCCCGTGCCCCACAGGAATGCCTAGACTCTCACGCCCTGTTGGAGGGGAAATGGGGATTGAGCATCATTCTTATAAATCAGCTTTGGGCATTTAAGTGGTATTCAAAGTAGCGTCAAAAGTATGCAAAAAGAAGAAGAAAAATACTTCAGCCAATTTTAGATCGGGTCAGAGCAAAAGATCATGTCACCAGAGGTCATCGATGGTAAAATTTTGCTTGGACAGGTGCGTTGCGCGCATCGGTGCATTGGGCTTCCGATTTCCATGGAAACATCAACAGACTCGGAAGCTCGTAACGCTAGCGTGGAGCCGAATTCATATCAACCGCCGCAACAATGCATGGCAGCGCAGCGCAGCGTGCTGCAGCGCGGGGCCGTGAAACACCGCCCAGGGCTATCCATGTGTCAGGGCAATCCAACCCACGTGATGGGCTCGGCTCCAGCGGAGCATGAGGCCCAAGACTCCCGCCCTCTCATTCCTCCCCTCTCATTCGCCCAGGACTCCCTCACTCCCTGTCTCCTCCTAATTCCTGTCATCCTTCCCATTCTGAAATCGACCGAAAGAGCCTTACCTAACACAACAAGGAGCTCGTTTACCGCTATGTCTGAATAATATTGTCAGATTTAATTAAGGTCAACGGCTTAGCACGTAAATAACAGCAGTTGCCACCATCGGTATTATGAGAAAACCAATTGCTTTTCCACAAACACTAAAAGTTTTAAGCTAAACTTGCATGAAATTAATTTTACTAGCCTCGTGTTCCTCTTATCAAAACGCTTCGAATGAATCAAAAGTTGATGTTTAAAGGTCATTTGAAGAATTTGGCCTATGTTCAAAGACATGACCTGACCAGAAATGGTCATGATGCATAGCAGGATATTAGATCCGTATCGTGGAACTTTACAAACACTTTAGATGATTTCATAACTTAAGCATGTCTATCAAAAATATTGGCATGGCTCATGTGTAAGCTGGGTGTGTGATCATGCTTACGAGTATGTTGAACGCAACTGATAATGTTCTGTTGGCCACAATTTCTATATTTAATTTATCCTCCCGGATTTCATATTTTTATTAATGACACCTTGACGATGTCGAGAAAAAAAAACGCTTAGGAGATTTAACAGCCTGAGATACATTCAGTATAAGGAAGGGTCAAGGGTGCTACATTCATTCCGTCCTCGCTATCCTCAGGAAAAACCAATCCGCATCGCCCCTAGTCTTCATGCTTCCCTCTCTTGACTGGAGGTTACCCCACCACCAGCTAACCTGTAGTTGATGTCGGTTCCATTCCAGAACACATAATCCTCTTCGGGTGACCGTTGGGGAGACGGCTGGACCGCCCCGACAGGGCAATCGTCCCACGGGAACAGTCACGCTTCCGCAGATCACTGTCGCTGGCTCGCACAACCAAATTACACCAGAGCAATAGTTATGTCATAGCTCTGCAAGGGCCTTCTCAGACCGAAAAGATGGCTCCCAACAAAACAAACAATTTTCTCATTCAGTATTGTATGTCATCAGGCACCACATGTTTTCAGAGTGTTTATTATGCGTTCCGTCCAAAAAAGGGCAGTTCAACTTTCTCCCATTGACTTTAATTTAGCGATCTCAAAATTGACCCGACCCGACCCGACAAAATTGACCGTTAGTAATGTCAAACTTGCAAAGTAAACGTTTCAAATACATATACTGTTGCCCATTGAAATCGCTGAAGGTTCCAAAGCGATCGGTTAGTCGATGCATTTAGATATGATGAGCACAGGAGCTTTCCTTGAGGTAAGGTCACTTGACGTGACCTGGTGTTATGACCTTGAATTGAAAGACTTGGGCGGGAAAAATGGGTCATTTGAAATCTTAAAATGTTAGATTTTAGCAATAATTGCTGATCGCAAGCACTATCCCGGCCAAATAATGAGTGAGAAGGGAGCGATTCCCCCAACCCCATGTTTAGCTCCTATAATTGAGCTAACTGCTAGAGCCTTGCGGAAAAAAAACGAGCGCTTGCGTCGTTACGTGACGCAGCGACTGTTACCCCATTTTAAAATATCAGTGACCTCTTAGGGCAGGTCAAGGGCCCCAAGGCATTGGATCGGTTTTTGGTAATAACTTCGCAAAAAAATGGTCGCATTATCGTCATTTCGATACAATCGTGTTTTCTGTTCTCAGACGCGTCGATTTATATACTTTTTTTGCTTAGGTGAAGCAATTTAGGATGTTTAGGTCAATGTCATGTTAGGGCAACACAGGTCACGAAGCTGTTGAAAGGAGGACATGTTGCATAACATTTGATTCGGCAAGTCTTGCAGAGTCCATTGATGGCTGTCCCGACTGGCTAGCTCATCTTGATCGGGAGTTATTGACGA